GGTCCCGGGCAGCTTCTGCAAATGCCCGGGACTCTTGCAACGTCCCGAGCCTGCCTTTTGCAGGCTCAGGACACAACACCCCTTCCCCCTGGATGAAATAAGATTGCGCCCACATGGACGCCATCCTAGTGATGGTAATATAATTAATAATGAGTTAATGTCACACAGTGTATAAGGTGTGGGACTGTTCCTTTGAACCGGATCCAGTGGTCCCCAACCTTGTTTCCTTAAAGTCAACCAGCTTATACCAATAGTGCAGCTATTGCTATGTACCTGCTCACCTTACATAATCGGCTAGGTATTTGGGAGGGCCTCTTACCCTGAGCGACCTTCTCGGACCTGGGGGGGTTGTATTGTTTCCCCCGTTGCTTCTTGCATGTGGTGAAGTGCCCTGTGGATGACTGGTGACTCCAGTCTGACTTTCCTGCCCTTCTCCAGTATTTGAGCAGTCAGGGCCCTGTTGATCGCTAAACCTGGTTGACCTACCCTCTATGGAGTTTTCTAACCCCTCTGAACTCATTCCCGTGTTTCCTGATGGAGTACGATTTTCCTGGCTCATTTCTGTAGTGATAGGGTCTAGGGATGCCTCCCTGTTAGCCCTGATGCGTGAGGACATCCTTCTCTGAGCCCTTTCAGCAAGGGACGTGTTCCCCCTTTGTTTTGCCTGCTCTCTTCCATGTTGTGAGTTGTGAGTATGCTCCCAGGTATTCTCCGTGTCTGGAGTATTGCTTGTTAGTGGTGGATAATTAGTCTGCCACCGGTGGGACTCCCAGGCTGGAGTGTGTGTGGGGGTGTCTGTGTATCCCCTTTCCCAAGAACTGCTACCTGAAGCACCTGTGGAGCTTGGGTGTTGAGTACCCGATTCACTCCCCTCAGCCATCGTTGGCTGATGAAATTGATTCCCAGAATGCATTTCCCCTTCCTCCTCCCCCCTAGAGGAGACTGAGAAGGAACCATAGGCGAGTCCCGCCTCACACGTAGATGATCAATGTGGCGGCGAAGCACTCGGCCGTCTGTCAGGGACACCTCGTAAGACAGAGGCCCCGAGACCTTGCAGACCACAGCCGGGACCCAGAGGTGACCAGGCCCGTAATTCCTGGCCCAGACAGGATCACCTTCACGTAGGACCCGTGATGGGTGTGGCTGAGACACCTGTGCAGCTACACGTTCTGGATGCAGCCTGTCCAATTTAGTCACGAGCCGACGACCCCAGTGGAGTTCGGCCGGGCACTTACCCGTGGCAGTGCACGGAGTAGTACGATGTGCCAAAAGAAAGTCAGCCAACCTGTGATGCCAATTGCCGTAAGTCAGCTTCTTGAGGGCGTCCTTGGCGACGCGGACCATCCGTTCAGCCAGACCATTGGTTGAAGGATGGAAGGGAGCCGAAGCAGCGGGATGGATCATGTCGGTCCAAAGGAAACCCTGAAACTCAGTAGACGTAAATTGAGGACCGTTATCCGACACTAGAACATCTGGCAACCCGTGTGAAGCAAAAATGTTTCTCAACACTTGAATAGTCTTGGCGGCTGTGGTAGAAGACACAGGCATGACCTCCAGCCATTTGGAATGGCTATCAACAACAACCAGGAAGAATTGACCCTGAAAGGGCCCAGCATAATCTACATGTATTCTAGACCATGGAGTGTGTGTTTCCTCCCACCTGTGTATTGAATTTGAATTTGAATTTGAATTTTATTATATTTATACCCCGCCCTTCTCCCGGAGGACTCAGGGCGGCTTACAGCCAGTTTAAAAACAACTAATACAATACAATACAAAATTTAAGAAAATAATTAAAAATAAATATTTAAATAGGCCGCTTCTACTAAAATTTAGTTAAAACCAATTTAAAATACCCCTAGGCCAGTCCTGCCCGC